CCTGGAAGGGGGGCCGAGAGGCTGCTGGGTCAGCACGTGGACGGTGTGGGCTTGGAAATAGTGCCCCAGCTTTTTCACGGTGTGGACGATGGCCAGCACCGTCTTCTCAATGGGGGAGTACCTGAGCTCGGCCTCCCGGAGTGTCTTGCTGATGTAGAAGATGGCCTTCTGCACCCCTTCGTCCTCACGGATGAGCACGGAGCTGATGGCCGACGTGCTCACCCCTAAGTACAAGAAGAGGGTTTCGCCGGCTTTGGGCTTGGAGAGTACGGGTGGGGACGACAGGTACCTTTTCAACTCGTCGAATGCTTCCTGGCACTCCGTCGTCCACTTGAAGCTGTTTGCCTTGCGCATGATCTGGAAGAAGGGAAGTGCCCTCTCAGCTGACCTGGAGAGGAAACGGTTCAAGGCCGCCAGGCGCCCCGTCAGTCGTTGTACCTCCTTGACGTTGCGGGGCGGCTCCATGTTGATGATAGCCTGCGTCTTCTCCGGGTTTATCTCGATGCCTCTCCGGCTGACCATGTAGCCAAGGAACTTGCCGCCCTGGACGCCGAAGGCGCACTTCTTGGGGTTAAGGCGGAGCCTGAATTCCTTCATGATTTCAAAGATTTCCCGGAGGTCGTCGGCGTGGGAGGTGGCCTGCCTGCTCTTGACGATCATGCCGTCGACGTACGCCTCCATCGTCCGGCCAAGGACCGCTCTGAAGATTTTGGCCACCATCCTAGTATAGGTGGCGCCGGAGTTTTTGAGTCCGAAGGCCATGACGAGGTAGCAAAATATTCCCTCTGGGGTCATGAATGCCGTCTTCTCGGCGTCATCTTCGTGCATGGAGATCTGGTGGTACCCTCTGAAAGCGTTGAGGAACGACATCAACTCGCACCCCGCCGTCTCGTCCACCAACTGATCAATGTTGGGGAGAGGGAACGGGTCCATGGGGCACGCCTTGTTCAGGTCAGTGTAGTCAACACACATTCTGAACGTCGGCGGTTTCTGTGCGAGGACGACGTTGGCCAACCATGTTGGGTACTTCACCTCTTTGATATGTTTGATCTATAGGAGCATGGCGACCTCCCCTTTGACGAAGTCCCGCCTGTCAGCGGACAAGTAGCGCCGCTTCTGTTTGACGGGCGCGGAGGCCGGATCGACGGTCAGCCGGTGAGTGATCACCTGGCGGCTGATGCCGGGCATATCGTCCGGGCCCCATGCGAAGACAACGGCGTATGACCGTAGGACGAGGAGGATGGCGTCTCGTTGGTCCTGGGGGAGTTGCTTTCCGACCCTGAGAACCCGCTCCGGCCGGGAGGTATCCAGAGGGATTTCCTCGACCTCCTCGGCCGGCTCCGCACGTGGCCTCTCCTCATCCGTGGCGACGGCGGCCGTGATGGTGTCTATCCGTTGTCCTTCCCTCTCGGCCGGCCTCGTCAGCTTGAGGTAGCAAGCTCTGGCTATCCTCTGATTTCCTCTGGCGTAGCAGATGCCGTCATTGGTGGGGAACTTCAAGCATAGGTGCTTCATGGAGATGATGGCCTCCAAGTCCTCCAGCGCTGGCCGGCCCAAGATTAGGTTGTGGGCGCACTGGAGGTTGACCACCATGAACTCCATGTCAATTTTGGCATGATGGGGGCCGTCACCGACTTCCACGGGGAGGACTATCGTGCCCTCGGCGTCGATAGAGTCCCCGGTGAAGCCGGATAACGGGGTCTTGATCGGCTTCAGCAGAGCCCTGTCCAGCTTCAGCTGCTTGAAGGTGTCCAAGTACATCACATTGAGGGAGCTCCCCGTATCGATGTAAGTACGGTGGATGATGGAGTCACCGATCTCACATCGGATGACGAGGGCGTCCCTGTGTGATCCCGTACCCGGAGGCAGATCCTTGTCGGTGAAGGTGATCGCCTCCGTCCGCTGCTTCTTCGGCTGGGGGGGAACGTGGGACACCTCCCCAATGTAAAGGGATTGGGCCCATTTCTTTCTCTGAGTGGCGGAGTCCCCCCCAGTGTTCCCGCCTACGATAAGGTGGATGTGATTTTTCTTCGGCGGAGGCTCCTCGAAGTCCTCGTCGTCGCTGAGCCTACCAATCTCGCGCTTCTTCGCAGAGGGTTCGCCCCCACGTTTGCCGGTGTTTACCCAAGTGTTTTTTCGTGGGCCACCTTTGACAAACTGGGAGAGTTCCCCCTGGCGAATAAGGCGCTCGATGGCCTTCTTCAGTGTGATGCAATCGTCGGTGTTGTGCGACGAGTTCTTATGGAACCGGCAGTATGTGCCGCCCTGCTGGATGGCAAGGATCTCCTCGGCCGGCCGAGGAGCCTGCTCGATGAGGCCGTGTTTCTCGGCATAATCGAGGATGGTGCCGACCGGGTGGGTGAGGGTTACTCCCGGCCGTTCCAACCTCGGCCGCCAGTGGCGGTCTTTCTTACTTTGTCCACCAGAGCCGTGGCGGCCCTGGGCACCCTGGCCGGCCGGGGTCGGACCCGGGGCCGGCGAAGGATTTGTCCTCTTGGGGGATGGGCCCCCTCTCTCTTGTGATTGTGGAGCTCGTCGGCGTCGGCATACAAGCCTCCGCGTTGGAGCGCCTTGGCGTACGACCTCGGGGGGTCAGTGATGAGGCTCCTGGCGTACGGGGAGCTGCGGAGGGCTCCCTGGTACAAGGCGAGGAGGGTGCGCTCATCGGCCCCCTCGACCTCCTCGGTCTCCCTCGTCCACCGATCGATGAATGACCGGAGGGACTCTTCGTGCTGCTGCTTGACGGAGAGGAGGTGGGTGAAATACTTCTTCGCGCGCTTCCTCCCGGCAAAGTGAGTGAGGAAGCGCTGGGCGAGATCCTGCCATGAGTCGATGCTCCCTTCTGGCAGCCCGTTGAACCACTCGTACGCTGGTCCTTCGAGAGTTGAGAGGAACCAACGACAGAGATATTCGTCGGACGCGTTCGCCATCAGCATGTTGTTCTGGTAACGGCTGAAGTGCTTCTGGGGGTCTGATCGGCCATCATAGGACTTGATGGCGTTCCCCCTGTACTTCTCAGGGATGGGGGCTGAGAGGACCCTGTTGGTGAAGGGGGTCCTGGTCCTGACCTGGATGATGGGGTCACCTCGCCCCTCGGCCAGCTCCCTCTCCAGGGCGCTAACCTTGTTCATGAGCGCGTTGAGGCCGGGGTCGTTGGAGGCGCCGGCCGTAGGGACGTTGGCCGACTGCTTGGCCTCCATCTGAGCCAGCCTCCTCTCCAGCTGTGCGATGACCTCGTCTCTGGGGTCCCTGGCGGCCGTAGCGCCACCCGGCTGGTTCCTCAGGCGCTCGTTGTGAGCCGCGTTGATCTGGTGACGCACGTCATCCTCGTGCAACTTCCCCTTGCCCTTGTCCGGGCGGGGCTGGTCCGCTGTCCGGGACACAGACCCCAAACTCTCCCTAGGGGAGCCAGGACGAGGATCACCAATCCGTCCCGCCATCCTCTCCGAAACCGGACGACGGCTTGTGTCACCCAGCCTATTGAAGGCGGAGGCTTTTCCACGCGCTGGGGTCTGCCCGGGCCGAAGAGGGGAAACAGGGTGGGAGTGGGACGACGCCGTGTCTTGGGCCACAACCCCCTCATTGTTGCCTATCTGGTCGGCCAGTGGTTGGGGATGAGGAGGTGGAGTGACGTTTCCCCCGGTCCTTGGCAGGAGTGCGCTGAGGACGGTGGGATTCTGAGCCAAGCTAGCGATGATAGCCGACAGTGCGGCCTGGACCTGAGGATCTACGGACGGAGAGGCCGCGGCCATAGGCTGGGCCGGGGCGTGGTCCGCTTCCTCAGCTCGTCTCTTTTCCAGGCCGAGGCGGGCGTCGGGGACTCCGCCGTTGAGTTGGTTGCGGAGGTCCGTCGTGAGGTTGAAGGCCTCCTGGAAGAGGTCCCCTCCGCCGACCTGGTCGGCCGTGGCGTCCTCATCGTGCTCCCTGGGCTCTTGGTTCTCAGGGATGACTTTGCTGACGAGGTTGCGGTTTGACTTAGTTCTCCCCATGATCAGTGGTTAGCTGCGCTTGGTAGCGACGAAGGGTGCTAACTTGATTGTTCTAGCTCTCAACGAGAGCACCAAATGATAGAGTATATCTAGAGAGAAGTGAGAGCTAGAGAGAGAAGTGCAATATATGCTTCAATAGAATGATTTTGCAACCCCTATAACTACTCCCAAGGGGAGTATTTATAGAGAAAATTAGGGTTGGGCTCCCAAGCCTTGGGCTTGGGAGGCCCATTTACAACTGGACCGCTACTGGGCCGAATACAAAGCCACTAATGGGCTGTACAAATGAGTAAGTATAGGATCCGATTCTGGGAGGTCATCGTGGCCGACGAGGGCGTGGCCGACGAGGGCACGGCCGACGAGGGCACGGCCGACGAGGGCACGGCCGACGAGGGCACGGCCGACGAGGGCACCCGGGTTCCTTGGACTCAGGATCATAATCCGGGTTGGCTTCTTCTCGGCCGACGGGGGCGTCTTGGCCGACGAGGGCGCCACTCTGTTGTCTTGTGCTCTGGCCCTCTGAGTATGTGGGTCCTGGGGCTCAGACCCATATACTCCATCATACGTCATTAATCATCTTACTGCCATTACAGATTACTTACATTAATAGAATACATATATCTTTCAAATTTATGCAACAAATTCCATTTCAGTCAATATATTGTCATTTAGAAGCAACACAATACGAGTAACATATATATGGCATTCACATTCTTCATGAACCACAAACAAACCAACAAAATAACATTTCAAAACAACATCACATGAATTTCTTATTCTCCGATTGACAATTCAATTTTACATATTTGCTTATAGAAAATCTACAATGCCATTACAAACTAAAGCAGACATAGTACTAAGCAAAGTATAAGTGCCATTGAACCTTTGTTTTCTTCTAAATGTATTTGTAATTACGTCATTAATCATGTTAATGCCATTGCAGAGTACTTACATAAATACCATACATATATCTTTCAAATTTATCCAACTAAATCAATTTTCATCAACATATTGTCATTCAAGATCAACATAATATACGAAAATGACATAATAGAAGCAATACATGCCATTTTGGAGTTGATTATAATGTCATGTGAACTTGGCATTTTCGGTGGAAAGTCAGAATCGTCATTCCGACTCTGGAAATCGGAATCATCAATCTCCATTGAAGCTTGACAGATAATCGCCTCCAACTTTCGATTCGCAGTAGAAGTTGTTGTTTGCCAAATTTCTCGCACGCATGCGTAGCAGTTTTTAATTATTTTGAATGCTTCCCATCTTTGGAAACTTAACTTCCGGGGCGAGGTATGGGTACGGAATATTTAGGAAATGCAAACAGCAGACGGCATTAAAGACGTTCCTTACGCGTGTAGACATGGAGGTCAAATTTGAAAATTCGCATCATTATTAGTCCCACGAAAACTTTAGTTATTTTGGATTCCTGTTTTTGCAATTTCAGTCTTATTTGGTCCCATTTGGGGAATTTCCTCAAAACTTTATTTGTGACGAGAGAGTAATTCATTATAAAGTCGGTTTATGGCCTAAGCTGAGGCTGCTGAGCCATCTGCAAAGAAGATTCAAACATTCTTGATGATGGCGGTAATAAACTTAGTAGTGATTCTTACCATTCTTCTTGCTTCTTGAAAGGGCTTAGCTTACTTGACCCGCCTGATTTCCTATCTCTGCAACTGATTCGTCATAACCTCTCCGATATGCCCGGCTCCGCTTTTTTCTCGAACTGGAACTTCAAAACTGGAGACCTCTGTACCTTTAATGGAGTTACTTGTAACAGCAACAACACAAAGGTAACTAAGTTGTACCTTGGTGGATATCCGGGATTGACGGGTCGGCTTGACCCGTTTTATCTTAACATGACTTCTATTACAGAGCTTGCAGTGATTCCCGGAACGATAGACGGTACATTGCCGGAAAGTCTATCGAGTCTGACGAGCCTAACGCTTCTCTCGATAACCGGGAATCTTTTCAGAGGGGAGATTCCGGCGTCTATTGGGAATCTCCGGAATCTAAAGACGCTCGATCTCAGCTGCAATCGGCTCACCGGAAGTATTCCATGGCAAATCGGAGGCTTGCCGGCGTTGACCAGGCTGGCCCTGAGCGGCAACCTTCTCTCAGGTTCTGTCCCAGTTTTCCTGACCCAAACTCTAATTACAGTTGACCTCACAGCCAATAATCTTACCGGAGGTCTACCGGTCAACGCTTTCCCGCCGTCGATTCAGTACCTTTCGTTGCCACGTAACCAGTTGAGTGGCTCAGTGTACCAGATATTATCCCGTTTAAACAAGTTGAAGTATCTCGACCTTGGGATTAACCAATTTACCGGCGGCATTCCGGCCAGCATTTTCAGTCTCCCGAGCATCACAAGTCTCCGGCTTGACAGAAATATATTTTCCGGAGAGTTGCCATCGACGGTTGGTCAGGTGAATATTAACGTCGTTGACCTCAGCTACAACGGGTTTTCCGGCGGAATACCGCCCGGGTTTTCCGTCGTTACAAGCTTGAGCGTGAACAATAACCAGTTGACTGGCGAGGTTCCGAGTGAGTTCTTGGACCGGGTTCTCTCATCCCATATTAAGCTTCTCGACTTGCGGCACAATTTGCTGAGAAGCTCTAATAATCTGTCGGCGGTTATTCCTGCGGAGGGAGCAGCTTGGTGTTGGGCATCAAATAGCTCGGCGTCGCCAACTTGCTCGCCGGAAGACGTCGACGGCAAGTTTGAAAAGAGGCCCACCGAGCTGTGCAAAGTGGGGTGAAACGCTGAACTTTCGATATTAGTCAATTTTCACCCTATTACCCACAAATTGGCCACCTTTGAGTCTTGATCGTATAATAATTAATATATGCGTTTATTAATAAAATATATGCCTTCATTAATAAAATATATTTCGAGTATAATTTTAACATAACTCAACAGATTCAACTAATTCAATCATTTTAGTAATAATTTCTCAAATTTTCATTTTGATTCAACTAATTTGAATATACTAAAAGAGTTCGCAATGTAGTATCATGTGGCGAATATTAGGGTTTGAGATACAATATAAGAATCCACCGGTTGAGTGTTTGAGTTTTCACTTCCCTGATGAGTAGTATGTATATTTCGAAGACGATGCTGCAATGACCGATGTTGTACAACATGAATCTGTTAAACAAAGCATGTTTCTGGCATAAATGAGGGCCAATGAATTGTACGCGGAAGCTAAAAAATTAACTTATGCTGAATTTCCTCAGAAGTTTGTTTGGAAGCTAGCAAAATGGGAATTTGTTCCTCGGAAAAGGGGGTTTTCTTTGGGTTGAGTCGCATATGTACCTCCAGGATCAGGAGAATCTTATTATTTGCGATGTATCCTAATTTTAAAGCGTGGTCCTACATCTTTCGCCGATTTACGAACTGTTGATGGGGTTTGTTATGAATCATATCATGACACATGTTACGCATTGGGTTTGTTGGACGACGATCGAGAGTACGTCGAAGGTTTTACGGAAAGTAGTTTTTGGGCTTCTGCATTGGGACTGAGAGTTCTATTCGTTATATTGTTACTAGCAGATACAATGACTAGACCTGAATACGTTCGGAAGAAATATTGGAAATTTATGTCTGATGACATTCTTCACAGACAACGACGAGCATTGCTACATCCAGGTTATAAAGAAATTACAATTTATTTATTTGTAACTACATTATTGTTTATAATTTGCTCAATTATAAGAATTGTACAATTAAATGTTATATTCTTTATTGTAGAATTAATGTTAACGGAAGACGAAATCAAGAATTATGCATTGCTTGAAATAGAGACAATGTTAAGGATTCGGGGAAGAAGCCTAAGGGACTATCCATCAATGTCATTCCCTAATTGTAGTAACGCAATCATGTTTTAAAACAGGCTTATTTATGACGAGTTGCAATATGATCATGCTGAAATGCATGAACAACATGAAAAATGCATGGAGAGTTTGAATGAGCAACAAAGTGAAGTGTACAAGACTATTATGGAATCCATTAAAGAGAACAAGGGTGGACTGTTCTTTGTATATGGGTACGGGGGTACAGGCAAAACGTTTATTTGGAAAACGTTGTCGGCAGCTTTGAGATCAAAGGGTGAAATTATTTTAAATGTGGCTTCAAGTGGGATTGTTGCATTATTATTACCTAGGTGGTGGAAGAACTGTTCATTCACGCTTTGCAATACCAATCAACCCAACTGAGCACTCGACATGCAACATCAAACAAAACAGTCCATTAGCCCAATTGATAATTAGGTCTAAACTTATAATTTGGGATGAAGCGTCAATGATGCATAAATATTGTTTTGAAGCCTTGGAAAGAAGTTTCCGTGACATTCTTAGGGTTGTTGATCCCCAAAACAATGATAAGCCATTTGGAGGGAAAACTATAGTTTTGGGAGGAGACTTCAGACAAATCTTACCGGTCATTACCAAAGGTACAAGACAAGACATAGTTAATGCCACAATTAATTCTTCATACATATGGCAAGACTGCATTGTTTTACGCTTAACAAAGAACATGAGACTGCAATCTTTGAGTAATGATCGTGATTATGCTGACTTGGTTGAGTTTGCTGAGTGGATAGCGAGTTTGGGAGATGGAGCGGCTGGTGGTGAGAATGATTGTTGCGCTGATATAAAAATACCAAGTGACATTTTGCTTCAAAGTGGTGAAGACCCAATTGCAACAATTGTATGTAGTACGTATCCTGATTTTGAACATATGCCGACTAACCCATCATTCCTAAAAGAACGTGCTATTTTGGCCCCAACACTTGATGTCGTTGACTCAATTAATAAGTACATGACTGCATTGAACGTGACAGAGGAGTCTAGGACCTATTTGAGTTCTGATAGCACTTGCAAATCAGACTCAAATTCAGAGTTCTTGGCTGATTTGCATACACCAGAATTCTTGAATAAGATACGTGCATCTGGTGTTCCAAATCACGAGTTGACTTTAAAGGTTGGTACTTCAGTTATGCTTCTAAGGAATATTGATCATTCCATGGGTTTATGCAACGGCACGAGGTTGATTATTACAAGGCTTGGAAATCATGTACTTGGAGCAAAAATTTTAGGAGGGAAATTTGATGGACAAGAAATGGTCATAACCAGATTGACACTAACACCTTCAGATGCAAGAATACCATTCAAGTTCCAAAGAAGACAATTCCCACTCATGCCCTCTTATGCAATGACTATAAACAAAAGTCAAGGTCAATCTTTGTCACATGTTGGACTTTTACTAAAAAAAACAGTCTTCACTCACGGTCAACTTTACGTTGCAGTGTCAAGGGTTACCAATCGTAAAGGATTAAAGAAATTGATCTGTGATGAGGATGACCAACAAATCGATCATACTACTAATGTTGTTTACAAAGAAGTCTTTCAAAATTTGTAATTTCATTATGCGCACTTATTGTTTTTCTTACCACTTTGTACTTTCATATGTTATGTCTATCTTAACCACGAACACTTATTATATTACTTACCACTTTATTATGAGATCAATTATTTTTGCGTTTTTATAATACACTTCTTTATCACACATTGGTAGAAATTCATCCGCGCATCGCGCGGGTGAGAATCTAGCTACCCACAAATTGGCCACGTTTGAGTCTTGATCGTATAATAATTAATATATGCGTTCATTAATAAAATATATGTGTCCATTAATAAAATATATTTCGAGTATAATTTTAACATAACTCAAAAGATTCAACTAATTCAATCATTTTAGTAATAATTTCTCAAATTTTCATTTTGATTCAACTAATTTGAATATACTAAAAGAGCTCGCAATGTAGTATCATGTAATTGGGATTGAAATGGTTTAATACACTGAATTATAAAAATTAGACTCCATGTTTAATCTATATGTTATACTCCCTTTGGTCCTTAATTAACTTTACACTTTCTTTTTTGGGCCGTCCCATATTAAACTTTACACTTCCTTATTTGCCTTATTTGGTCAACAAATCTACACCAAATAGTGCAAAATAGTGTCAAACAGTGTCAAACGGTGCCAAATAGTGCTCTACAGTAAAGTCAAATTTATTTCTTTAATATATGTGAAGTCAAACTGTAAAGTTTAATAAGGACCGTAGGGAGTATAATAACCACAATGATATGGAATGGTAGAGCAAGAGAATGAATGAAATTGCGATTAAAGATACAAATAACGAACTCCTATTTAGATATTTAGCCTCCTATTGGTAATAACTATTCACAACTATACCCACGTTTTAACTTCTTTTGTAAATAAGGGTTCAACCATTTAGATTAACATTTTTATCTTGGAATCATGGGCGGATGTACTTGAGGGCAGGGGTGGACTTCAGCCCAGCCCAATTTTTTTAGTTAGTAGAGGTATATATTATATTCTGAGCCCACCTCAAAATTAATTCTCAGTCCAGCCCATTATTAATCCCAGCTCAGCGCTCCAGCCCACATTCCAGCCTTACTTGCGCTTCTCGGCCTACTTACTTACGCAAATTAAAGAGTTGCGAATGATTGAACTTTGAAGACCTGCGAAGTGCGAAGTGCGAACTGCGGTCTGCGAAGGAGCCTGCGACGAGGAATCGAGGATGAATGAGTTGTGAACCTGCGTGAACATTAGCCGCGCCGCCTACGTCGTCCGCCGTCCGCCCACCGCTGTCTGTCTGTCCCTGTCCGCCTCTGGCCCTCTGCGGCTCTGCGCCTCCCTCCAGGTAAACTTCAAGTCTCCAATTCTCCAAATTCAATTTCTGTTTTAGATTTTAGATTTTTTCTTGTTATTAGATTGTGAATGTGTTATTCTCCAAATTCTATTTCTAAACTCCAATTGCCGACTTGAATGTGTTATAAGTTATTGTGTATCTGTGTATTAATCTATTACGGAGTATTATTTTTAGCATTTTAGAGTTTTAGGATTAGGGAATCATTATGATTATTAATTGAATTTTTCAGTACATAATTAAATAGTGTTTAATTCATTATAAATTTAGAATGATTAAAGATAAAATTAAAGAGTAGAAAATGATTTAGTTATTATACAATTGAAAATTGAGAATGCTTATTACTTTTATGTACAAGTGTACAATGTTTGTTTTTTCCTTATTAGTTATGAAGTATATTTTTTATATAAGTATTTTAATTTATACCAATATTGGAAATGCTTTTTAGAATGGATAATGAACACATTGCCAAGAAAGGGAAGAAGTTGATTTCATCATTCTTTCCGAAAGTGAATCGTGAAACTGGTGAAGGGAGTTTTGAACCTATACCTACGATTTATTGATGATCTACATTGAATGAGACTTTGTCAATAATATAGATATAGATTCTATTATTGATGAATTTTATACTTTGAAGTCACATAGGGACAACTTAAATGATGTTTTGATGAATATTTAAAGTGTTGACGACTTGACTTATTATTATGTATGTGTATTTCAATTTTTTTTCAGCCCACCCCATTGGGACTTTCTGGATCCGCCCTTGTCTTGGACCAAGTTCTTTCATCCCATATTAAGCTTCTCGACTTGCGGCACAACTTGCTGAGAAGGTCTGAGAATTTGTCGACGACTTGATGGTTATTCCGGCGGAGGGAGCAGCTTTGTGTTGGGAATCCAGTAGTACGGCGGCGCCAACTTGTCCGCCCGAAGACTACGACCGCTAGTTTGAAAAGAGTCCCACCAAGCTGTACAAAGTGGGCTGAAATGCTGAGAGATCTCCAGTGCTATAGTGTGCACGGTGCACATGTGGCATGAAAGATACCACATAAATATTAGCAAATAAATTATCTATCTTCTTATTTGAATAATTTTATACAATTTTGGTAAGTTTTCCCCTGCAATGTCAA